ACAAAACATATGGCACACCGAACCGGTCATCTTGAAACTTCGCAAACCCAAACAGTGAAAAAAAGGAAAACGCAAAGCCAGATTTGTGTGAAGTAGGAAAATACATTTATACGAGGAACCGCACAAGTTATTGAGCCAAAATGTTGTGGAGAGAACACTTGGTGATTGTAGTCATCTCAGTTATCGGTACATAGGAAAAGTCCAAGGTGAAGGTCAGCTACCATCAATAACGCGTATGTCCCCCCGTTGGAACGATAGCGGCCTGACATCTCCTGCCCATGGAAGAGACGAGCGTGGAATGGTAGCCTACTCGGCCTGCAACGCAAAAGCCAACTGCTGCAACGTCTGGGGTTGTGGTTGACGTCGGCGTAGCCGTCTATTCAATAAATTCCATAGGTGCTCTATCGGGTTCAAATCCGGGAATCTGGAGGGCCAGGGGATAACATCAACGTTGTTGTTGTGTAGACAGGCTCCTGTGATCCGTGCGGTCGAGCGTTGTCCCGATTGAAATAACTCTTTGCCGTTGGGAGGACGTGTGGTAGGAGAATTTCGTTGATGTATCGTTGAGCCGTAAGATTGCCCTGGATATGGACCAAACCTGTCCTGCCATGATGAGAGATAGTCGGCTACATCATAACGCTGCCCCCACATACCTGTCCAATTCCTGTACGCAGTTTCCACCGTAACGTTCTCCCCGACGTCTGGAGACCCGTGCTCTTCCATCCTCTCAACGGAGGAGAAATCCTGATTCGTCGCTGAACCAGACATCTCTCCATCGCTGTTGAGTCCATAGCCTGTGTTGACAACAACAATGCAGTCGTTGTTGACGATGTTGTCGACTCAATATCACGCGTCGAACAGGACCTCTTGCTCGAAGACCTGCTGCTCTTAAACAATTCCGTACGTCTGGTCAGAGATTCTGCGCAGTCCGGGTATTTGGGATGCGGTTGGGTTGGCTGTGGTCGTCCTTTCACGTAGGTGGCGCAGTCGGATGTAGCGATCTTGGGCGGGGGGTGGTTGCTCTTGGTTGTCCCGACCTTGGCCGATCACATGTTGACCCATGCTGTTGAAACCGATCTCATAGCCTTGTGATGGTGCTGGGCGCTACATTGGAAAACCCCACCACCATCTGATCGGGATTCCCCTGCCTGCAAGCGGCCTTTGACGTTGTTTCTTTGCACTTCTGTTAATCTTGGCATGTTGTTGAACTGTCACTGTTCGATTGACGCAGATGCAATCAAAAACCCTGGGGCGGTATTCATAAAAGAACTTAATTTAAAAAAAAAACTTAAGTCTTGAAAAAGACTAAGTTTTTTTCACCTTTTCTGACTTAAGTTTTAAGAATTGACTTTAGTCATACTCATGGAGCGACTTAGGCTTAAGTTTGACCAATTTCTGACTTAAATCTTAAGACTGGGTAGGGGTAGGCTTAACTACAAGACTTAAGTCAGTAAACAAAATGGCTGCCGTACAGCTAGGTCGTCGTTCGTTTCATCAAAGAAGACAAAGTCTTGTTGAATACAGCGATGAGGAGTTGATACGGCGATACCGTTTAGATGGAATGGTATTAGGTACGTAGCTAATTTAATAGCAGCTGTTATGGAGCCTGCAACCAACCGTAACCACGCACTTGACGAGATACAAAAGACGCTGATCACATTAAGGTACTTTGCAACCGTAACCACGCACTTGACGAGATACAAAAGACGCTGATCACATTAAGGTACTTTGCAACCGTAACCACGCACTTGACGAGATACAAAAGACGCTGATCACATTAAGGTACTTTGCAACCGTAACCACGCACTTGACGAGATACAAAAGACGCTGATCACATTAAGGTACTTTGCAACCGTAACCACGCACTTGACGAGATACAAAAGACGCTGATCACATTAAGGTACTTTGCAACCGTAACCACGCACTTGTCGAGATACAAAAGACGCTGATCACATTAAGGTACTTTGCAACGGGAAAGTTTCAGTTGTGTAATGCAGATGATCAAGGTGTCACCCAGCCCACCATTTCCAGAGTTGTAAATCAGTGCATCACAAGTTTGTCATCTGATTGAATTGTAAAACAGTTTGTCCGCTTCCCCCTGCAACTCGGGGACATTAGGCGTCACAAAACCAACTTTTATCACATTGCGAACTTTCCCGGATTTGTCGGGGTGATCGATGGAACCCACGTACAAATCCAGGCACCAACAGTAAACGAAAATGAATACGTAAACCGACATCATTATCACAATATAAATACGCAGATCGCTTTTGACAGCGATGACAGAGTCATTGACCTTGTTGCTCGGTGGCCAGGATCGACATACGATTCCCGCATGTTGACAAACAGCGGGCTCTACCACCTATTCGAGCGCAATGTTGTCCCCACCGGATGTCACCTTCTCGGTGACAGTGGTTATCCCTGCAAGAAGTGGCTACTGACCCCTTTCCTAAGACCATTGCCGGGATCACAAACAAACTACAACAGGTATGTAAAGCTTCGTGTTACTTTGCCGTCGTAATCAACAACTTAGAGTGATGTCCCTTGTATTTACCTCAGAACAGAACAGAACAGAACTTTATTACGCTCAGGCCGAGATCCTCGGCATATGAGGTACAAAATGACAGCAAAATACACATTATAATAGCGTATATGTGGTTAGCCGGAAGATTTTACAATTTGCATTACATATTTACAGAATTTACTAAGGTTTTTTAATACAGATATCTCTTTACAAGTGAAAAGTCTTTGAAATTTAATCATATTAGGTCTTTTAGAATATGTAGGTGGGATATACAAAATTCTTTCTTTAGTAAAATATGGACATTTAAAAATAAAGTGAAATTCATCTCCAATATCATCATTAAAACACAGATTAAATTTTCTTTCACAAATAGGTATCCCATTCCATCTTCCTTTTTCAATTGGTAAGTGGTGGCATGAAGTACGAAATAAAAGTAGAGGGATAGCTTTATTTAGGGGTAGGGACGCCAGATAATTTTCTAATTCAAATTGTGGTTTCAAGAGAGAATAGACTACACTTTTTTTTTAATTTTCCACCTCAGAGCTCAAAGGTTTGTTTTGTATGATCAGTTAAAATAGAGTGAGCTGTTGCTTTGAGCCAGGAAGAAGAAACAGGAGACTGTGACAACCATACATAACTTAAACCAATATTGTTTAGATCATTTTGAATACATGAAATCCAGTCATATTTGTAAACACCTGTATTATGGATGTTATATACAATGGAGTAAATGATTGAAAGTATTTTGCTGGATTTATCTGTAAGTAATTTCGACCAAAATCTTAATGTCCCCGAGTTGCAGGGGGAAGAGGACAAACTGTTTCACAATCCTGTCAGATGACAAACTGGTGATGCACTGATTTACAACTCTGGAAATGGTGGGCTGGGTGACACCTTGATCATCTGCATTACACAACTGAAACTTTCCCGTTGCAAAGTACCTTAATGTGATCAGCGTCTTTTGTATCTCGTCAAGTGCGTGGTTACGGTTGCAAAGTACCTTAATGTGATCAGCGTCTTTTGTATCTCGTCAAGTGCGTGGTTACGGTTGGTTGCAGGCTCCATAACAGCTGCTATTAAATTAGCTACGTACCTAATACCATTCCATCTAAACGGTATCGCCGTATCAACTCCTCATCGCTGTATTCAACAAGACTTTGTCTTCTTTGATGAAACGAACGACGACCTAGCTGTACGGCAGCCATTTTGTTTACTGACTTAAGTCTTGTAGTTAAGCCTACCCCTACCCAGTCTTAAGATTTAAGTCAGAAATTGGTCAAACTTAAGCCTAAGTCGCTCCATGAATATGACTTAAGTCAAACTTAAAACTTAAGTCAGAAAAGGTGAAAAAAACTTAGTTTTTTTCAAGACTTAAGGTTTTTTTCAGACTTAAGTTCTTTTATGAATACCGCCCCAGGGTTTTTGATTGCCTTGCATCTGCGTCAATCGAACAGTGACAGTTCAACAACATGCCAAGATTAACAGAAGTGCAAAGAAACAACGTCAAAGGCCGCTTGCAGGCAGGGGAATCCCGATCAGATGGTGGTGGGGTTTTCCAATGTAGCGCCCAGCACCATCACAAGGCTATGAGATCGGTTTCAACAGCATGGGTCAACATGTGATCGGCCAAGGTCGGGACAACCAAGAGCAACCACCCCCCGCCCAAGATCGCTACATCGGAATGCGCCACCTACGTGAAAGGACGACTACAGCCAACCCAACCGCATCCCAAATACCCGGATTGCGCAGATTCTCTGACCAGATCGTACGAAACTGTTTAAGAGCAGCAGGTCTACGAGCAAGACGTCCTGTTCGACGCGTCATATTGAGTCGACAACATCGTCAACAACGACTGCATTGGTGTCGTCAACACAGGCTATGGACTCAACAGCGATTGAGAGATGTCTGGTTCAGAAACGAATCAGGTTTTGTCCTCCGTTGAGAGGATGGAAAAGCACGGGTCTCCAGACGTCGGGGAGAACGTTACAGCGGAAACTGCGTACAGGAAGGTTTGATGGGGGCTTTCTCTCATCATGGCAGGACAGGTTTAGTCCATATTCAGGGCAATCTTACGGCTCAACCATACATCAACGAAATTCTCCTACCACACGTCCTCCCAATTGCAGCCAACGGCAAAGGGTTATTTCAATCCGGACAACGCTCGACAGCACGGATCACAAGAGCCTGTCTACACAACAACAACGTTGATGTTTTCCCCTGGCCCTCCAGATCTCCGGATTTGAACCCTGGGGAATGAATTGGATAGAAGGATACGCCGACGTCAACCACAACCCAGCAGTTAGCTTTTGCGTTGCAGGCCGAGTGGGCTACCATTCCACAGGATGTGATTCGCACGCTTGTCTCTTCCATGGGCAGGAGATGTCAGGCCGCTATCGATTCCAACGGGGGGGGGGGACATACGCGTTATTGATGGTAGCTGACCATCACCTTGGACTTGTCCTGTGTACCGATAAATGAGATGACTACAATCACCAAGTGTTCTCCCCACAACATTTTGACTCAATACCTTGTACGGTTCCTCGTATAAATGTATTTTCCTACTTCACACAAATCTGGCTTTGCGTTTCCCTTTTTGAAGGGTATATTTTAATTATGACTAACGGTTTGGGTTTGCGAAGTTTCAAGATGACCGGTTCGGTGTGCCATATGTTTTGTGACGGACTTTTCAGCTAGGTTGTCAAGGCTTCTTGTGGGCTGTGGGACTGACAGGTAGGTCATGTTTTGTGTTTGGAAGATTTATATATATATTTACTTTGCTCGGATGTAAACCCTCTATAGTGAGGGTATACATTCTTCCCAATGTTGGCGTTCCAGTCGATTGTTTGTTTACAAAATGACTGAAACCTGACCGTAGCGATAAAAAATGTTGTAAACATATGATACGCATTAGCATCGGAAACCTAGCATCTGTACCGTTGCCCGAACGAAGTCATTCAATAGTTGACGTAAACATTGGATTTAACTAAATACGTTTTTCGGGTATTTCAAGTGATATACCGTTAATCCTGATCAACGGTAACCTTATCGAAGTTATATTGACTGTTGATAATCCATCATTACACAGGAGTGCGCATTCATATTCATGCCCAGCTCCCCGGGGAGTATACAACCCATGATGTCAGGTGGTATCTTACCCATCACGTCGCCATGCATCCCATACTAACGGGTACCCAGTGTATGCAATTTAAACGAATTCATTCGTTCAAAGAGACTTTTATTTTGAACATGTGGGTGGCTAGATGACTCATCGACTATGGCGGTGGGGTAGCCTAGTGGTGAATGCTTTCGGTCTTCATGCCGAAGACCCGGGTTCTATTCCTCACATGAGTACAATGTGTGAAGCCCATTTCTGGTGTCTCCCGCCTTGATATCGCTGGACTATTGATAAAACCATATTCACTCACTCACCCACTCCATGATACCCAATATAAGTTAATACAATGTCGGGATCTTGGATGTCAGGAGTTTAGGGTGTTCGGGTGTTCATGAATTGGGGTGTTCCTAGAGACACCGAGTGTATTAGTCTCCTTGGTCTGTTCTCACCGATCCATGCGCTACTTTAAACCCATCTCATCCATTCACTGAATCACGGATCATCCGGTAATAAACTGCATACTTTTTAGGTAATTATTGACGTTCGACAGAAATGAATTAATGAAGAAGAATGTTAGGGTATTCATGTTTGTACAACTTCCTTGACTTCCCTAGTCAGAGGTTTGTCTGTCAGAATTGTACCTGGCTTTCTTCTCTGGTCTGTTGTGGGTAGGGGTGAGGGATGAGGGGGGCTCTCTGTCAGAGTGCAGGGCGGGGAAGTCCACATTAGGGTCTATGTCAGGGGTTGAGTCAGGGTAGATTCTCTTCCCATCAATGTACAGTCTATCTCTGATAAATGAAGTTTTGTGGCCATTACTCTTAGCTTGTTTATATCTGTGCCACAGCTGTTTTCTCCTTTGTTGTATTTCATAAGGGAAATGTTTATTTATCCCCACTGATGAGCCCTTAAGTTTGTGACCTTGACTTTTAACAATGTCCCTGTCCCTCTTGGATGTAAAGGCAACTAGAATAGGTCTAGGTTTAGTTTGATCACTCCTCTTCTTTCCAAACCTGTGTACTTTTTCCAATTCAATGGACTTTGCTATTATCAAATTGTTTTCTATCACATTTTGTGCTTTCACTTCTATATTCTCCTCCTCTGTCTCATCAATCCCAGTGAAAATAAGATTATGTTCCAGACTTTTACACTGAACTGTAAGTAACTGTTCCTTCAGCTCATAATTCTGGTCTCTGACCTGATGCAGTCTACTATATAGATAGTCTAGCTCATCATGACATTCATCTAGTTTACCCTCTAGTCTGTCTATTACACAGGCATTCTCTTCTCCTTGTTGTTATTCTGAGTGAAGTTGTTGCTGTAGCTGTCGGTGGTGTTGCTGTAGATATTGTAGATCAGGCTGATAGTCGCGATTACATATTTGCCCATCTTTCTTTCATAGAGCACAAACGCAATATTTGGTCTGGATAATCGAAGCAATTACAAAAACATTCTTAATAAAATACGGAATATTATTATTATCAGTTTTTTATTTTAACATCTATTATTAAGTCTATGTTAGTTGTTCTAAATGTACAAGTAATCATGTGCTGTTTTGGTAAACATGCTTAATATTTGTGGTAATTAGGAATATTGTTTTTAAACATTACCAGTATGAATTTCCTAAATAATCTAAAGTGTAAATTATTGTTTTCACATGATCAAAATTATTTCTTAAACAAGTGACATTTATCAATAAAAAGATAAATATATTATATTTCTTAAACCCTGTTGAAGATTAATGTTACAGATTACACTCTGACATGTTATGTTATTTTCAGGTCACACAAAAAAACCAGGAGCATAGTAGAAAGGGCCCTCGGTCAACTCAAACGCAGGTTTCCTGTTCTCCATGGGGAAATCAGGTTAAAACCTGAGAAGGCTTGTAAGGTAAAAATTATGATCAACAAATGTTAATTTGTGTGCACTTTTTATTTGCCACACAAATGAGTTCAACAGAACAAAAATGTAACCAAGCTAAATGACAATAAATATATAAAATAACAATTCCTAGAGAGGAAAGCAACGATAGAAAAAAGCAACAAGATTTTATTGAGTTACATAATTATTTCAAACATGGTTGTTTGAATTTATGTTAACAAATGCCATTGAGAATATGAAAAGAACAATGCAGTGGCTCATCATCTATTGAAGTTTCTACATGGACATGAACTTGTTCAGATTGACTTGTATCTAAATCAAGTGAATATAATGACTATTTATATACAGTTATATTTTTAAGGCAATAACAGGGCAGTTGTAGATTGGTAATGACTAGGAGCAGATAAGGGAAAATTCATAAATATTTGTAGTATAAAATTGTTAAGGTGCATGTGGAGATGGTCAGGAAAAGATGGGGTTGTATGAACTTATTCGTTATTTACAGTAATATTTGTATGTTCAATTGAAGCCGGGTAAAAGCCTAAATGTTAAGTGTAATGATGTTAATTAATCATTAATGATTTCATATTTTAGGTGATAATAGCATGTGCTGTCCTACACAATATTTGCAAGGACAGAAATATCCCAGTTCCACCCACTGATGGGCATGATGGACTTGGCAGGCTTGCTGGACAGAATGGACCTCAAGCAGTGACTGCTCCACCAGTAGCTGCACTCAGATACAGGGAGCACTTTGCCAATACCAACTTTCCATGTAAGATTATTTGATTTTAATTTTCAACATTTCCTCATAATAAATCCAATTTGTATCAGCAGTACATTCTTTGCTAAGTATCTTTTGTTTTTAATCATCTTAATTATCCCTCACCCTCTTAAATATGCAATATTCTAAATGCAATGTACTATTTCTCAAAAATGTTCCACAATAGTCTTTCTACCAGAATCTGTTGTATCATAACATTGGGCTTAGTATGTATTGTGACATTTAATTTTCAAATATATAAATAATTCTGTAATCCCCAAACAACATGTATGATACCTTTAGCTAATTCAGTTTCATGATTTTCAATTTAAGGTATTCCTTTTTCAAGGTGAGGCATTCAATTTCAAGCTTTAATTTTTGCTTCAACAGAGTTTCCACGGTTGGTGAAGTGAGGGACCCTGTGACATCTGGCTCCTTGGAATACATGTTGGCTCCTTCTGGTTGAGGATGTGGATCTGACATGGCGGTGTCATAAATCTCTCTGCAACAGAAAATATGAAAGTTTTAATTGTAATTTTCACATAAATGTTCTTTTCAATTTCAACAAGCCTGTTGTTTTGTGTTATTATGATGAGAACATTTACATTTATAATCATATCACAATTTTTTAAACAGCAATTGACTTAATTTGTGCACAATTGAGGTGTTGATATTATAAAAGAAATATACATGTATACTAAGTTTTCAAATAATAATTAGATCCACAGCAAGTGGTTTTATAACTTATTTATGATGTAACATTTATACAAAATTGCATATGATTATAGAACAGCAAGTTATACATATTAGGATCCAGGGAAAATGCAAATACAATATATTAGTAGTTTCAGTTATAGCTTTTTAGATAGATGCTAGCCTAGCTAAGGTCACATGAACCCATCTCCCAGACATACTATTCAACAAGACAAACGTTATGTATACATACTTTTATAGATTCAAATCTTTTAGATAAAAACTAGCCTAAGGTAACAAAATCCCATCTCCCAGACATAATATCCAATAAGACAAAAAATGTATCCACATAGTGTTATAGATTGCCTTGAACTATTTTATTTAAGCAAATCTGTCATCACCTATACTAGAATAACATTCAGAAAATACTTCAATTTAGACTTATTAAGGATTAGCCATATACAAGCTCGTCTATAGTGATACCATATTCTCTTTCCAAGCACCCAGGATTTATGTCAGAACAGAACCATGATAATTTTCTAACCCAAAAGGTATCTCATATCATTGATGTACCTGACAGTAGGTGGCATCAGATCCAGCACCTGCAGCATTGTCGTGTCAATTGAACCTGGCACGCCAGTTAGCGTCACGTTGTCCTGGCCTAAGATATCAATGACTGCATTGGTCACTGGGCTGATTGGTGCTGGTGCTGGTCCACCTCCTGTATAAACATTGAATTACAAACTGTAATTTTTAATATCGTTTACCTCCCCTGCACTTTAATACCGTTCAGTGCTGCTGCACGTACAGTGCGTGCAGCTCCATGGCCCTTTTGTTAATACACTTGGTGTGTTTCCCTACTAATGGTTTGCATGTCCTTGTTGTGATCATTTTGATCCGGTAAATTCTGTCACCGGCACTACAACACATTAAACCTCTTCATTTTGCAACTCTTGGTCCTCTAATTTTGCTTTTATGGCCAAAAATATCCGTATTGCGTTTCTTCTTTTGAAGAGTATATGATCAAATTAACCAAAACTTGCAAATATGTCCGTAATACTAAAATGTACGTGTACATCCTTGTGGGACCCCCATAACCCAATGAAGGTAATGTGAGAACCATTTGCGTCACTGGCACCACATGTCCCGCTATGGTTCCGGGTTAGAATTGGTCTTCAGCAACCTGTGTTTGTCGTAAGAGGCGACTAACGGGATCGGGTGGTCAGGCTCGCTGACTTTGTAGATGCATACAGACATTGCGTTGATCGATGTTCATGATGTCAATCACTGGATTGTCTGGTCCAGATTCGAGTACTTACAGACCGCCGTCATATAGCTTTGAAAATTGCCCAGTGCGGCGTTAAACAAACCAATTAACTAACATTGACACCACACAATGATCAATGGTTTAAAGACCAGTCGTGGTACCCTTTGCGCGTAGGATTAATCGTCATTTGAATTCCAAGAGGATAACGGCCGCAAATACACGTTTGTGGGTCAAAGGATTGTTGAGGAGTGGGAACATGCCTTTACCCGCTACCGCCTAAGTATTGAGAACCAGTCGTGGTATTTTGGCCGGATTGGTGTGCCATACTCGACGTAGCTGTAGATATGGACTAGATAACTCCAGTCAGAGTGTACCCTAGCGTTTATTTGATCAATTTATACCCACGACCAGTAAGGAGGTCGGGTAAGATGGATTACTCTGATACGAAGGACACAGATTGATAAACAACAATGACTTGTTTTAGTTCTGGATGTAGATCTTCATATAAACAGAATGGCGGATCCAGCATTTCTAAAATACTACCAACAACATAATGCATGTGGTTTTCCAAAGGGTGTGTTTTCGGGGGCGTGGACCCGCTGTACTACCATTTGCACGCTTGATTTATTCATGAATTTATTCAATATCTTTTGCTGCGATGTTGATAACAAATAGCCAATGACAGGGGTTAATTCACGACAGCTCACTGATATCAATGGGCACAAATCACATCCGCAATTCTGACTCGATGCATGTTATTCCACGTGTTAGTCAGTAATATCTCATCCGTAATACGGTGGCCGGTACATACTCGAGTTCGGACAAGGCAAACCAGTGGTTGATGACATGAGCACCGTTCTCTGACGTCGATGATGACACACAATCAGTGGTCTCTTACCACAAGAAAGGACCGGGGTATTGGGGGCAGATTCCCCTCCATAATTACAACTAATGGCTCTAATTGGATGAACATAACTATTCTCAGTGCTCTTTACGAATAATTAATTTTGCTGAATATACACCACGAATTTTCAAAAGTTTCTCGACACAGTACATATAAACGCAAATCAAGTGCTCTCGTTGAGTGAGTTGGATTTTATACCGCTTAAACTAATTTCCTTTCCTTATCACGACTGTGACACCACACAATATCTTCACTCATGTTGTAACGCATTCGTCCCCACTCGCCCCTTTCCGTAACCTGCAAGAAGACTCGTCCCCCTATCGATGAATGTTCTGTGCGAAATACGGCAAACCAATCAGAATGCGCGTATGACTTCAATTACTTCGGTCAAAGAATCCCTTAAGAACAATGTTTGATTTTACATATGTCTTGCATTTAAAAATATATCCATGATGCATTTAAAGGTGTTTAACCATACTGTATAATAATAACAATAACAATAACAATAATAAGTCCCAATGTGTTTACCCCGAATAGCATCTGGAATATATATGATATATGGGGGAAATATACATGAATCATTACGCAACGAGTTGACAATTCCTTTAGCTATGCCAGTTTGCGCTTAGACGGAACCCAGTCGCAAAGATGGCCACGAGAGAGGCACGAGTCGCTATTCTGCTTGTCCCGGAATAACACGGGTTGGTCACGAATGGTTGTCACGTGAGGAATAGAGGCCAAGGATTAAACACCAGACCACCCATGACTCTCAATGGCTATGGATGTTGTACTGTGGGGCGGTGGGTTAGCCAAGTGGTTAAAGTGTCAACTCATCAAGAGGAAGATAAAGGTTCGACTCTCTCAAAACGAACAATGGGTAAACGACCATGTGTTCTTTAGGGCATGATTGGAATAATGGTAAGGGTGGCCTAAAACATGTCTGCCTTTCAGGCGTCCATTACTCTCCGATTTATAAATAAACTAGTGTGACCTATGCGTCAGAAACACGTCTCTGAGTGTTCTACAGATTTCAGGGCGCTGTGCCCCGATATACACGGACGGTAAGCCATTGGGTAGATAACGGTGCTAAGCATCCCGGCAACGACCAGGGCCTTCCACACGTCTAATGGTCAAGGTTAAAAGGTTATCTTGAGGTATTCGGGTACATTTGTCAGGCAATAAATCAATCATGTTACATCTTTTTTAAGGGTTAGTAATAGGTATGAACAGAAATATATTTGTGTGACTATATCGCTTGATGTGGTTATTGACTGGCTATAAAACTGCCTAATCCACCAAGTGACACGACTGAAACACCGAAACATCAATACATGGTAATTGTCCATGGTCCGATGGCAAAAATACATCAGTCACGAAGAAAGACAAGTTCTATGGATGAACAACTTCTTTATTACAATCAGTGCGACGTTTCGGTGTAGATCCTAACACCTTTATCAAGCAAGTGATGGATAGTGCTTACTTACTTACTTTGGAGATTTAACGTGCGCTTTCCGACTGATGCGTATTTCGCACACGGGCCCGGCCAGGCCATTTAATGTGTTTCCGAAAGGGGCGAAAGTGGTGTGTGCAACCCAAGAGGGGGCTTTAGGGGTTGCTTATATAGAATTTGGGAATTTTGAGATTTGGAATAGATGCCAATGGGGTAGGGGAGGAGAACTAAGGGAGCTGGGTATGGTGGATTTTTGTGTGTTTATGTAATTTTGATTTGGTGGATTATATGGATAGTGCTGAACGACATAGGTATATATACTTATTAACATCAATGTTTCTACAGTAGATTGATTGATGGACACAGAGAGCTGATTAAGATAATTGGAAGCCAGTGAATGACTAATGGGACAGGGTAAACAACCACGGAAGCTGATTGGGATGATTGGAAGCCAGTGAATTAGAAGCCAGTGAATGTCAAATGGACACAGAGTCAGCAAGCAGTAATAAAGAAGTTGTTCATCCATAGAACTTGTCTTTATTCATCACACCAACTTCTAAATGCCACTGAAAGAAGTTATACATCAGTCACGCTAAAATAGACGCACACATTTTATTCTCTGTCTGGCTGTTTTTGAGTCAATCAATCAGTTTATTGGGTAATAAGGCCTCAGGCGTACAGATAATATACAATAATAAAATATTATTTAGTTTCACATCAAGTGCTACATGAAATAATATTTACAGGTAAGAAGAGCGAAGACAGATAGCATCATAATTGGCTAAGTTCTCAAGACAGTTTACATCAGAAGAATTTAACATTCTAACTAATATGTCTTTACGATTATTACCAGTAATACAGTCTAAATATGGGAAATATTTTGAGCGAATATCTTCATACATTGGGCATACAAGAATGAAATGATTTTCATTTTCAGCTGTCCTTAACTTGCACAATGGACACAACCGGAGTGTCTCATCGATGCCATCCCTCCTTCCTGTGTTATGCATAATTGCCTGTTCTTAAATACTTAATAGGATAGGGGGGCACGGGTGACCCAGTCGTCTAAGGCGCTGCGATTCGCTGTGCAGAGTTGCGTCCCTTGGGCACGCCAGAAACCTATGATTGTGGGTTCGAATGCCGGTTCGCCCCAATTATGTTTCTAGGTTTGTCAGCACCATGGGTGCTCGTGGGTTTCACCGAAGTGGTAAACGTCTGAGACCTGCATCACTTCGGGCTTTCCTCCCACATTAA